CTCTCTCTCTCTCTGTGTATCTCTGCATGAATAGAGAGCCTGCTGCCTTCACAGAGCTGTTCTTCCTAATGAGATTAACCATCAGAGAACGCTCATGTCTAGACAACCTGAATACACAACCCTCTTCACACAAACACACTCAGGCTCAGGTAAAGCCCACCTGTAGATCAGCTCGAGGGGTTTGCTTTCTGCTATAAATCTATCAGGATTTTATGTGATGGCTGCATTCGAGGAAATCACTGATTCTTTCACTTTCAGAAATAAAGATACGAGAAAGTGCACAGTCTAAAGTGTCTACCGGTGTCTTATAAGTACACATCCATTCCTAAAGTGTTTTTTCTTGTCGGCTTAGTACCTTTATTAATCCGGGGTCGCCACAGCGGAATGAACCGCCAACTTATCCAGCACGTTTTTACGCAGCGGATGCCCTTTCAGCCGCAACCCATCTCTGGGAAACATCCACACACACACATACACTACAGACAATTTAGCCTATCCAATTCACCTGTACTGCACCCGGAGGAAACCCACGTTAACGCAGGGAGAACATGCCAACTCCACACAGAAACGCCAACTGAGCCGAGGCTCGACCCAGCGACCTTCTTGCTGTGAGGCGACAGCACTACCTACTGCACCACTCCTTCGCCCCGACTGAATTATGTGTGAATTTGTACAAATTAGCAACTAAACTAAACTTAACTGAGATCAGGCAGAACTTTCTCTCGCATCAAAGCTTCCCTAAAGCAAGAAAATCAATTATTTACTTCAGAAAAACAATTTTCACACTAAGAAAAGTAAAAAAAAAGGTAATAATTTATTAGAATATTCCATTGAAAGGTTTGCAGAGGAGCCAAAAATGCAGACACTGTTAACAATTCTGGCTTCTACAAAATTCCTTCATGTTGACCCAACACAAATCAGTTGTTAACTTATGTATTTTCACAAATTTAAGTGGATTAAACATAAAACTTTTAAGCTGCCCCCAAAAAACCTTCAATGATTGAGTTGTTTGATGAGCAACAAAAATAATTTTTAGTGTGTAAATAAACAGCTGAATCACAAACTATACAAGGAACGATTAATGAACTAAACTGCAAATCAAGGCTGTTAATTGTAGAAGTGTTACGCTGCTCCTCAAAGCAATAATATCCAGCTGCAGGCAAGCAGAACCACACACATTTTAGGCACACACAATCTAGGACACACAATCTAGGCAAACCATATATGGTTACGACGGATGTTATGTTATTAACATCTTTTTGAACATCGTCATCGATATATTTGGATAAATGTGGTTAATAAATATTGTACACAATAAACAATAGTGTTTACTTTACTTTATTTCACAAATATTGCAATCGAGACGGCCGAATGGGGAGCGTTGTTTCCGATTGCCATTCAATATAATAGACTTAACAGTTTTTAATCAGTCATTATAGCAGATCAGTCTTTATTACCTGACAATAATATAGCAGATACTCGTTTACTGGCCTTGCTGAACGATCTAATTTGGACAGGTTTAGTTTATATAATGCATTAATTTTTGATGAAGGAAATAATAGCAAGTTAATATAGGCAATAATACATTATATGTAATAAAACATATTTTTACATGTAACAAATGTATAACACTATATTATTTTACTCAATTAACAAATTAACTATTAATAATAAAAAAGTATATGTATATGTATATATATATATATATATATATATATATAAAACTAACAGCTCTGACAGTTTGGTAAAAGATAGTAGTTTATATATAAACTTATTATAATCAGATAATCAGTTAAGATAATCAGTTTATAACTATATATATATATATATATATATATATATATATATATATATATATATATATATATATATATATATATATATTGTTTAAATGATTAACTATAGTAGGCTAATTTATTTTAAAGTGACATATTATTGTTTGCTTTTTATATTTTACAACAAAGTGATTTTAACCAAGTATGATAATATTAAGATCTTGAATTGATTTATTACACTTAATCCAACAATTAGACGGTCTATGATTGCTTTGTGTCTGTGGACACATGAATAAAGTCATAATTGTCTTTAACCAATTATTTTTATTTACATAATTTGAGTTCAGAAACTTCAGAGATGTTAAAATGATCGTAACGATATAATAATAATAATAATGACTGAAATGGGAAACCATACTTGTGAAATTCAATAGGTGGTGACCATATATGGTTTGCCCAAATCGTGTGTCCTAGATTGTGTGTGCCTATCTCCCTCAAAGAAGCGTTAAGGAGCTTTAGTATAAAGGCCCTGTGTCAATATTTGCCTCAAAGCCTCGGCTAAACAACTGTTGACCAAGAGAGCACCGTAATCCAAACCTAAATCACTGTTTAATTGCAACAGATGAAAATGAGCCCTTGTGGCTAACTCTGGCTTATTTACAGTTTTACTGTTTATTTATGAGCATTGTCCCTGTTAAATAAAATAATTGGATGCTCTTTTCTTTATTCAAGTGTGATTTGATTGTAGTTAAAGACACTTTCAGGGAGAAAAAATATACTATGGTAAGGGTATTGTACCATACCGAGGCCCCGTTTACACTAGTGCGTTTTAGTTTTAAAACGGCGTTTTAGATCAAAAACGATCTGCGTCCACACTAGCGTTTCACCTAGTGTTTCTGAACATATCTCCATCCACACTATGCCACCAAAAACGTATATCACGTGACCATTCGCGCACTCTGGGCATGAGCGTTCTAGTATAAACAGGAAGCATGCGTCTCGCTTCACATTTGGTTATTGTTAGTCAACAAACGCCGGTTGAACAATGAACGCGATGGCAAAGAAAGCAAGAGAGGTATTTTTGTGGACAGACGACGAGGTCGAGTTGTTACTAAACGTAACAAATGAATAACTACACAATGGCACCTAAAACAGACAATAGTGCAAACAACGCTCCCATTTCTGTGTACGTGTTGTTGTTTACAGTGAAGGCTGGTCTGCTGTCTTCGGTAGCATTAAAGCTATGTGTTATAGTCATGTGATAGGGGCTTGACGAATAAGGGAAGGATACGCAATGACACGAAATCCCTGATCAGGTAGCGAATCTCAGCAGCCCCGCCTCCGTTTTCAGATGTCTCCGTTTTCCCCCATCCACACTGAGACAGAGCAGCAGCGTTTCAGAATGAAAACGGCCTCTCCAGCGTTTCCAAAACGCTCTGTTTTTGGCGCTCGAAAACTCTAGCGTAGTGTGGACGGATGGCATAACCGTAGCAAAACTTATGCGTTTTCAAACTAAACCCCCTCCCCCATTTCTGTTTACCTGAGAGTAGATTTTCTAAACCCATTTCTAAACATAGTAATTTTAATACTTCATCTCTAATAACTGATTTATTTCATCTTTGCCATGATGGCAGTAAATAATTATAGACTAGATATTCTTCAAGACACTTCTATACAGCTTAAAGTGACATTTAAAGGTTTAACCAAGTTAATTAGGTTAACTAGGCAGGTTAGGGTAATTAGGCAAGTTATTGTATAACGATCATTTGTTCTGTAGACTATCGAAAAAATATATAGCTTAAAGGGGCTAATAATTCTGACCTTAAAATGCCTTTAAAAAAATTAAAAACTGCTTTTATTCAAGCTGAAATAAAACAAATAAGACTTTCTCCAGAAGAAAAAATATTATCAGACATACTGTAAAAATTTCCTTGCTCTGTTAAACATCATTTGGGAAATATTTAAAAAAGAAAAGAAAATTCAAAGGGGGGGCGAATAATTCTGACTTCGACTGTATGTGATGTCTGTGTGCATGGTTAATGAAGTGTATTTAAAGTTAGATATATAGGAAAATCAGTTCATTAAAGCAGCTAATGTGTGGATGGTGGGCTTTTCTAATGGCCCCTTCGTGCAAACATGACGCGACACACTCGGCGCTCGCGTTCGCCAATTCACACACTCATATCCACTAATTCTCACTGGTGCTACAGACACCAGCTCCTGATTTTTACAACCGGCTCAGACTGTGGCAAATGATTTGAAATGCAATTCAAGTCGTCACCAGAGTATGAAGTTCTTCTCAAGCCCTTTTCCCTCCTTAATCGTCACAACTAAAAAATTATTAAACACAGCACACATGAAAAAATAATAAATAAATGAGTATAAACGAAAGGAAATTTTCACAGTATGTCTGATAATATTTTTTCTTCTGGAGAAAGTCTTATTTGTTTTATTTCGGCTAGAATAAAACCAGTTTTCAATTTTTTAAAAGTCAATTTAAGGACAATATTATGAGCCCCTTTAAGCTAATTTTTCCCCGATAGTCTACAGATCAAACCATCATTATACAATAACTTGCCTAATTACCCTAACCTGCCTAGTTCACCGATATAACCTAGTTAAGCCTTTAAAAGTCACTTTTACGCTGTATAGAAGTGTCTTGAAAAATATCTAATCTAATATTATGTGCTTTCATCATGACAAAGATAAAATAAATCAGTTATTAGAGATGAGTTATTAAAACTGTTATGTTTAGAAATATGCTGAAAAAATCTCTCTGTTAAACAGAAATTTGGGAAAAATAAACCGGAGGGCGAATAATTCTGACTTCAAATGTATATACTATATAACTGTAGGTTAACTATGCTTTCACTAATAAAGTCATGATAACTAATAACAATAACGTTTCTGAATTTGATTGTAATGCAATAACCTGAAAACCGCTATACAAATAAATTAAATGGAAGATTTTAGGCCTGTGCGTATTTGCTTAAAAGTCCTTTAGCAGTTCATAAAGACATGTTTCCTCTGCTGCTCCTCTTCCTGCCGGGACTCTATCAAGGCTCTGCTAACTCTCTTTGATTCTGCCCATCAACCAATCAGATCACGACATTGACTCATCAGCGTGTCACTTCAAAGGCTGGCAATGGGGGTCCAAGCCCCGCCCACTCCCCGAACCCACTTAAAGATGTGGGACGCCTCATCTGTGCATCTACAGCAGAGGAACTGACCTGCACTGAAGGAGCAGAAACACCAGAGCATTGGACTTAACATTGGAATTAATCCAGTTCTGATGGAGACCTTGCGTTTGAACTGAAACACTTAGATACACCAGATTTAGATTATTTTCTGACATTTTCTTTTAGAGGACATCTTTAAAGAAGGCTAAATAATGCAGGCTATCAGAGGTGAGTACTTGTCTTAATGCATTTAAAGGGGTAGTTCACTCAAAAATGAAATAATGTCAAAAATAAACTTACTTACTTGAGTTTGTGTCTTGTTTCAAGTCCAAATATCTAAAAACTCTTAAATTAAGAAGAATTTTCCAGACAAGTAGAAAAAAGATGTTGTGTGTTTTGTTTTCAGAAATAAGTCAAACTTAAATGAGTTTTTCCTTAAAACAAAGCTAAATTTCAGTTTTAATATTATACTTAATCCACTTTTAGATAATTTTAGCTTGTTTTAAGGAAAACAAACCACTTAATTTCGACTTGTTATTGCTGAAAACTAAAAAAATATGCTTCTTGATTTGGGAAATTTGTTAGATTTTGGACTAGAAACGAGGCAAAACATCTAGGTATCGATTAAGTGTATTTGAGTTTGTTCTGTTGAACACATGAGAAGATATTTAGAAGAATGCTGGCATCCATTGACTTCCATAGTCATTTTATTTCCAACAATGCAAGTCAATAGAGACCATCGACCAGCATTCTTTAATATATCATCTAATGTGTTCAACAGAGGAAGCAATCTCGGGTTTAAAACCACACCAGAGATAATAGTTTTCCACTTTCATCATTTTTTGGTTTTGACTTGGTTTTGCAAAAGTTAATGACTTTCTACTAAATCCCACTTAAAACATCTTAAATCGCTCATCTTTTCCTGGAAAATTTCAATTTTTCATCATTTTTTAGAACTGTTGCACAACTAAATTAGTTTTTAATTGATCTTGCTTAAAACATCTCACATTGTCCATCTTTTCCCAAGACAAATGTCGTTTTTCATCTTTTTTAGACTTAAATTTGTCCAATTGAATGACTTTCCACTGAATCTCAGTGAAAACATCTCAAATCTGCATCTTTTTTCCTCATTTTGGATCTTTCTTAGACTTGGCTTTGAATAAATGAATCACTTTCCATCAAATCCCACTTCCACCCCATCTTTCCCCCGATTTTTCATGTTTTTTAGACTTGGTTTTGCACAGATTAATGACTTTCTGTTAAATCCCATTGAAAACATCTCAAACCCTCCGTCTATTCCAAAGACGATTTAATTTTCTTCTATTTTTTAGACTTAGTTTTGCACAAATTAATGACTTTCCACTAAATCCCACTTAAAACATCTCAAATCATTCATCTTTTCCCCCAGAAAATTTCCATTCCCTATATGATTGTCATTTTTCATCTTTTTTTAGATTTGGTTTTGCACAATTGAATGACTTTCCACTAAATCTCACTCAAAACATCTCAAATCATACATCTTTTCCCCATTTTACATATTTTTTAAAACTTTGTTTTGCATAAATGTAATCACTTTCACTTAATCCCAGTGAAAACATCTAAAATTGTCTACCTTTTCCCCATTTTCCATCTTTTTAGACTTGGTTTTGCACAATTTAATAACTTTAGACTAGACCCCATTGAAAACATTTCAAATCATCCATCTTTTTCCTGGACATTTTTCATCTTTTTTAACCTTCAGTTTTGCACAATTTAACGACTTTCCACTAAAAACCCACTGAAAACATCTCAAATCATTTAATTTTCTCCTGTTTTTCATCTTTTCAGACCTGGTTTGGCACAATTTAATGACTTTCTACTAAATCCCATTGAAAACATCTCAAATCATCTTTTTATTCCCAAGACAATTTGATTTTTCATCTTTTTTTTCACTTAGACATGCAGTATATAATAACTTTTTTACTAAATCCCACTGAAAACATCTTAAATCATCCACCTTTTCCGACAATTTCATGTTTCAACTTTAAACTAGTTTTGCACAACTTATTGACTTTCCACTAAATCCCATTGAAAACATCTCAAACTGTGCATCTTTTTTCTTAGACAATTTCATTTTCCGTCTTTTTTAGACTTGGTTTTGCACAATTTAATGACTTTACACTAAATCCCGTCGACAACATCTCAAATCATCCCTTTTTTCCTCAGACCTCAAGCACAATTTCAGCCTCCCTCCTCCTCCATCCATGCCCGGAGCCGGTGATTCCTACCATCAAGGCAACATCCGAATGACTCTGGAGGATCCCGAGCTGTGGAGATCCTTCCATGAGATCGGCACTGAGATGATCATCACCAAACCTGGCAGGTATGTCAGCAAAACCAAGCCTTGAATCAACAAAACCTCATATTGAAGGTTCCTTTATGTTGATTATTTACGTTACATTACAATTAGGGTTAGGGTTAATGTAAAACATTCCAGCAAACACTCAAAGATTTTTGCTGCTTGTTCAAACTACTTACTTAAAATGAGCTGAAACAGCACAATTCTTGAGTTTTGGACTAAATTTGTTAATTTTATCTGTGAAGTTTCTTATAAAACTAAAAAGCTAATCTAAAAAAACTAAAACTAAAGCTTATAATAACTTGTGAGAACAAATACCATGGAAGTTGATGGCTGCCGGTTTTTAAACATTCTTCAAAATATCTACTTTTGTGTTCAACTGAAAACAAACAAAAACGCTCAAGCTTAAAATAACTTGTGAGAACTAATATTACAGAAAAAACAAAACGAATACTATGGAAGTCGATGGTTACCGTTTTTTAAACATTCTTCAAAATATCTCATTTTGTGTTCAACTGAAAAAAGACAACACAATTCTTGAGTGTTTTGGAACAGCTTAATTGTTTTATGTTCAGTCCACTTAAATTTGATAATTTAATCTGTGAAGTTTCTTATAGTCTGGAAAAAGATCCTAAAAGATACTAAGCAAATATGGTAAATAATATTTATTGATTATTGTTATTTATTTATTTAAAATGCCAATATTCTGAGCTAATATGTTACTATTCTAATGAGAAATAGTTTGCGATGTAACTTAAAGCAATCAAAATGAGCGAAAGACCATCAAAATAATGTGCCAGAACTCTTCTGCTTTTAAAACATGCGGTAACACTTTAATATAGGGACCAATTCTCACTATCAACTACACTAAACAAATATCTTACATTTTTAAAGTTAAATCAAATGAATTATTCTAGTCATCTCAACTTACGTCAATCAAACTGACTTAAAATATTAAGTTCATAAAGTTAAAATATTAACTTATTAACTGATTTAAATATAAATATTTGTTGTCTCGGCTTTCTGGTCATTACCTGCCTATTATTAAGATGTTAACTGTTTATTAGACTTTATAAACTACATATTCTGCATGATCTTATTCTGCATCTCTAATCCTAAACCCAACTACTACCTTAATAACTAATAAGCAGAAAATTATTGAGCTAAAAGTATTAGTTAATCATTTGTTAATCGTGACCTTAAAATAATGGATGTTTAAACCTTAATAAAAGATTTCTAAGCCTTTCAATGTCACTTTAAGCTGAACACTAGTATCTTGTAAAGTAACTAGTAAAATATTATGCACTCATGGCATGTCATCATGGCAAAGATAAAAAGAAAGCCGTTAAAAAGGGACAGCACACACAAAAAAATGACAATTGTGCTGTCATTTACTGACATTTAACTTGTTCCAAACATGTTTGATACTTTTTTGTTGTGTAAGACTCAAAAGAAGATATTTTGAAGAATGTTGCATCCATAATGGGGGAAAAAACAAATACTGTGGAAGTCGATGGTTGTCAGTTTTTAAACATTCTTCGAAATATCTAGTTTTGTGTTCAACTTAAACAAACGAAAAAACTAAAGCTTATAATAACTTGCGAGAACAAATACTATGGAAGTTGATGGTTGCTGGTTTTTAAACATTCTTCAAATTATCTACTTTTGTGTTTAACTGAAAACAAACGAACGAAAGCACTCAAGCTTAAAATAACTTTTGAGAACAAATATTATAGAAAAAAACAAAACAAATCATATGGAAGTTGATGGTTACTGGTTTCTAAACATTCTTCAAAATATCTCATTTTGTGTTCAACTAAAAAAAATTAACAAACAAAATAAAACTCTCAAAACTTAAAATGACTTGTGAGAACAAATATCATGAATAATAAAAAAAACTGAATACCATGGAAGTCGATGGTTACCAGCTTTTAAACATTCTTTGAAATATCTACTTTTGTGTGAAATTGAAAAAATTAACAAACAAACCAAAAAACTCAAAAACTTAAAATAACTTGTGAGAACAAATACTGTGGAGGTCGATGGTTACCAGTTTTTAAACGTTCTTCAAAATATCTTCTTTTGTGTTTAACTGAAAACAAACAAACAAAAAACTTAAGCTTAAAATGACTCATGAAAACAAATACTACAAAAAAAAAGTACTATGAAAGTCGATGGTTACCGGGTTTTTAAACATTCTTCGAAGTATCTACTTTTGTGTTCATCTGGAAACAAACTAACAAAAACTTAAGCTTAAAATAACTTATCAGAACAAAAACTATGAGAAAATACCATGGAAGTCGATGGTTACCGGTTTTTAAACATTGTTTGAATTATCTACTTTTGTGTTCACCTGAAAAAAAAACAAACAAACAAACAAATAAAAACACTCAGACTTAAAATAACTTGTGAGAACAAATGCTATGAAAAAAAAATAATATTATGAAAGTTGATAGTTACCAGTTTTTAAACATTCTTTGAAATATCTACTTTTATACTTTTTTATTAACTTGTGTTGTCATCTCACAGAAGGATGTTTCCACACTGCAAAATCAGCTTGTCTGGACTGGTGCCGTATGCAAAGTACATCTTACTGGTGGACATGGTACCAGAAGACGGTCTGAGATATAAGGTAAACCCAGATCACACTCTGTTATCCATGTGAATGCTGTTTAGACCGCTCTATTGAAATGAAGAGCTGTTGGTTGAATTGGGAATGAATTGGATCGTTTTGGGGGGTGGTGATGGGACGGGACGTTGTCACTTGTGTCTCCCCGAAACGTTCTCACCACTGATTGCTCTCTCCTACTTCAAAGAGCCCCAACTCTTCCTGTTTTTACAGAGCCCACTGGGGGGTTTTGGCCCAACACACTCTCGTTCACACATACTCTCACACCCCAGCACCACCACACACACACTTCAGCACACCTTATGGTCACGGCCACTGCTAAAGGTGTGCAGTTGAAGACAAGATTATTAGCCCTCTTTTGACATTTATTTATTTATTTATTTATTTTTTGTTTATTTATTTTTCCTTGTGTGATTTTTTTTGTTCTGTTGAACACAAGAGAATATTTTTTGAAGAATGTTGCAAAAATTGACACCCATATTTAAAAAAAAAACTATGATGGAAGTCGATGGTGACCGGTTTTTAAACATTCTTCGAAATATCTTCGTTGTGGGTTTTGTTTTTAATCTGTTGAACACAAAAGAAGATATTTTGAAGAATGTTGCAAAAATTGACATCCATAATCGATAGAAAACAATTACTATGGAAATCAATAGTTACCATTTTTAAACATTCTTCGAAATATCTTTGTGATTTGTTTTTGTTCTGTTGAACACAAAAGAAGATATTCTGAAGAATGTTGCAAAAATTGACATTCATAGTACAAAAAAATACTATAGAAGTCGATGGTTACCGGTTTTTTAACATTCTTCAAAACATCTTTTTGTAATTTTTTTTTCTGTTGAACACAAAAGAAGATATTTTGAAGCAAGTTGCAAAAATTGACATCTATAATCGATAAAAAACAAATACTATGGTAGTCGATGGGTACCGTTTTTTAAACATTCTTCGAAATATCTTTTTTGTGTAATTTTTTTTGTTGTGTTGAATACAGAAGAAGATACTTTGAAGAATGTTGCAAAAACTGGAATTCATAGTAGAAAAGTAAACAAATACTATAGAAGTTTATGGTTACCGGTTTTTAAACATTCTTCAAAATATCTTTTGTGTTTTTTTTTTTGTTCTGTTGAATACAAAAGAAGATGTTTTGAAAAATACTGCAAAAACTGACATCCATAATCGACAAAAAAAGAACTATGAAAGTCAACAGTTACTCTATTTTTTTAACATTCTTCAAAATATCTTTGTGTGATTTTTTTTTTTCTGTTGAACGCAAAAGAAGATATTTTGAAGTAAGTTGCAAATATTGACATCAATAATCGATAAAAAAACATACTATGGAAGTCGAAGGGTATTGTTTTTTAATTATTCTTCGAAATATCTTTTTCGTGTAATTTCTTTTTGTCGTGTTGAATACAGAAGAAGATATTTTGAAGAATGTTGCAAAAATGACATTCGTTGTAGAAAAAAACAAATACTATAGAAGTCGATGGTTACCGTTTTTTAAACATTCTTCGAAATATCTTTTTCGTGTATTTTTTTTCTGTTGAATACAAAAGAAGATGTTTTGAATTATATAGCAGAAATTGACATTCATAGTAGAAAAAAAAACATACCGTGAGAGTGGATGTTATCGGTTTTTAAACCTTCTTCAAAATATCTACTTTTGTGTTCAACTGAAAAAACAAACCTAACTTCTTTGAAACAAGTCGAGGGTGAGTAAATAACGACAGAATTATGACTGTAGTTCACACATACTCTCCCACCCCAGCGCCACACACACTTGATCATCACACCTTATGGTCACGGCCACCGCTAAAGGTGAGCAGCTGAAGATGAGATTTTTAGCCTCTTTTGAAATTGTAATTTTTTATATTGCTTGAATTATTTTTGAAATAAGTATTTAACAGAGTAAGGATTTTATTTTGACAGTCTTAGTATTCTTTGCATCTGGAGAAAGTCTTATTTCTCTTAGTTTGGCTGGAAGAAATCAAAGTAATTTAAACAAATGTAAAAACCCACGAGGTGAGGTCAATATCATTATATGATTTTTTTAATATATTGGATACAAAAAATCCACTGTTGTCCAATGACTTGCCTAGTTAATCTGATTAGTTAAGCCTTTCAAATGCACTTTAATACGAATACTAACATTTTGTAAAAAAAAATAATGATAATTATTATGTGCTGTCATCAAAGCAAAGATGAAAGAGATTAGTAATTAAAACTATTTTATTAAAAAAAGAAAAAATCAAACTTGTCAAAAATTGTCTCTCTCTTTTAAAGGGATAGTTCACCCCAAGAATTAATTTCTGTCACAATTTAAAGATATTTTGATAACTCATGTAAACCGGTAACCATTGACATCCATCTACTATACAAGTCAGGGGTTACAGGTTTTCTTCAAACATTCTTCAAACTATCTTCTTGTTGTGAGCTTTTCTCCTTTAAACAGCAATTACATTCATTCATTTTCCTTCTGCTTAGTCCCTTTATTTATCAGGGGTCAACACAGTGGAATGAACCGCCAACTCTGTTTTACACATCGGATGCCCTTCCAGCTGCAACCCAGTTCTAGGAAACACCCATCCACACTCACATTCACACACACACACACACACACACACACACACACACACACACACACACACACACACACACACACACACACTCATACACTACTGCCAACTTAGTCCATCAATTCCCCTATAGCGCATGTGTTTGGACTGTGGGGAAAACCGGAGCACCCGGAGGAAACCCACGCCAACACGGGGAGAACATGCAAACTCTACATAGAAATGCCAATAGTTCCAGCTGGTGCTCGAACCAGCGACCTTCTTGCTGTTAGGCGACAATTCTTTATAAAAAACAAAAAAATAAAAGATAATAATTATATTCACAGTAGGGTTAATAATTTCGTCTTAAACTCTAAGGTCACAATCGTGTGCTCAGTTACTCAGCCAAATGCTTCTTGCTCTTTTCTCTGCAGTGGAATAAGGATAAGTGGGAGGTTGCAGGTAAAGCTGAGCCCCAGCCGCCCTACAGGACGTACCTGCACCCGGATTCACCAGCGCCCGGCAGCCACTGGATGAAGCAGCCCGTGTCCTTCCTCAAGCTGAAGCTCACCAATAACGCACTGGACCAGCATGGACATGTGAGTAAAGTTCTGCATCAGTGTTACCCTCAAACAGCCGTCTTATTGCAGCTCTTAAATAGTTGTATGTGGACATATTTAGACATGAAGTGATGGCAATTTAAAAACTAAAATAAACGACTGCCTTTGATCAAGTAAGATCTGTTTATTTTGGTTTGTTTTAGTTTGTAGTTGTGTTTTGGGGGGTGTGCGCACTCCAAAAATGACGTTTGCTTTTGTTCAAACTTATTTAAAATGAGCTGAAACAACACCGTTTTTAAGGGGGCAGCTTAATTGTTTTGAGGTTTTTCAGTCAAACTCTTTTGTTGAAAGTTTTACGGAAATACAGACAAAAGCTGGCACAGAATGAGGCAAGTATTAAAAAAAAATAATAATAATTTTGCGGGGCGGCACAGTGGCTCAGTGGTTCGTACTGTCACCTCACAGCAAGAAGGTTGCTGGTTTGAGTCCCAGCTGGGCCAGTGGTCATTTCTGTGTGGAGTTTGCATGTTCTCCCCGTGTTGGTGTGGGTTTCTTTGGATGCTCAGATTTCCCCCACAGTCCAAACACATGCGCTGTAGGGGAATTGAATTACCTAAATTGGCTGTACACTCTCAGAAATAAAGATACGCAAGCTTTCCATATTAATACCTCAAGGATACATATTAGTACCTAAAAAGTACAAAAGTGTTCCTCTTAAAATATTTAGGTACTAATATATACTTTTGAGGTACCAATATGGACCCTTGGAGTACAAATGTGTACCTTTTGAAAAGGTACCACCCCAATGACAGCTCACGTACCTTTATTTCCTAGAGCGTATGAGTGTGTGTGTTTTCAAGTACTGTGTTGCGGCTGGAAGGGCATAAAATAAAAATATTGTTTTCTTTTCAGAAATAATAAGTCAAATTTAAATGAGTTTTTCTTTAAAACAAGCAAAATAGTTTGCCTATGGAATGTCAAATAATAATATTTTAATTTGAAAATGGCATTATTTTACTTAAAGACTGATTGTTTTGCATGTTTTAAGAAAAAAATCACAAAATTTTTTGATAAAACAAAAAACAAAACCATACCTATTTTTAACAAGAACATTTAAGAAATGTCAAAAGAAATAACGTATCGTAAAATAGCTCACTAAAATACAGAAATAAATGACGGTATTTATAAAAAAAAAGATAAATTATATACATAGATATACACAGTTGAAATCAGAATTATTAAGCCCCTTTGAATTTAAAAAAAAATATATTTCTCAAATAATGTTTAACAGTGCAAGGACAATTTCACAGGGCACCCGCTGCGTAAAACATATGCTGGAATAGTTGGCAGTTCATTCCGCTGTGGTGACTTTTGAAATAGAGACTAAGCCGAAGGCAAATTAATGATTGAATAGTTTTGCACCACAAAAAATGTTCTCTAAGATGCTTGCGGATATCTTTGATAAATACAATCTAGCATTTTAAATATATACTTTGAAATTTTTGTATATTTAATTATATACATCAAAAAGTACCATGTTTTTATATGAAATATGCTTCTTTTATGCTCTATTTAATATCTATTTTTCTTCAGTAAAACCATTTGAGTTCAGAACCCTAAAATTGTGTGACGATGGTGAAATCTGGTATTTTTTGATTGTGTATAAATATCAAAAATGATACAAAAATAAATGGCAATAGTTTTCAGTTACAATTTGGGAAGTGTGTGTGTGTGTGTGTGTGTGCATAATTTACAAGCTCAGACCTTTATTTAGGTGTGTTTTATCTGTGTTGTGTTAGATTTTTTGTACAAATAAAAAAAGCTTAAATTGTATTTTTATTGGGAAAATATAAACAGAATGCTTCATATTTTGCTGTTTGCCATTCATTTCCAATGAGTGCTCATTTTTGGGCACAAACATAAAATAAAAGTGTTGTTGTTGAATAGAGTACTCTTTTTTGTTTTTTCTTATATATTTTGCTTTATTTTTTCATTTCCTTTAAGATGCGTATACTGTAAAAAACCCACAAAGTTTCTTCATGTTGTCCCAACACAAATAAGACAAGTTATTTACAAGCCATTTACATTTCATTTACAAATTCAAAACAAATCTCAATCATTGTGTTGTTTCAGTTGATTATAAATATGTTTGAACAAGCAGCAGAATTTTGTGTGTGTATTTACAGTGTAATTATTAATTGAACTACTGAGTAATATTAATTAAATGCACTTACTAGATGTTTGGGGTTAGAATGTGAGTCGTTTACAAATTTAAGATTAGTTCCATGAAATTTATTGTAATTACTATAATAAGTGCATGGAGGATGTGTAACTACACTCAAAAATATATTTTTTTTCATTTATATTGAGCTGAATTAACACAATACCTGAGTTTTTTGGGACAACTTAATTGTTTTATGTTAAATGAACAATAAAAGAAATTGTGTGAAATCCAGCATGTTTTACAGTGTACATCACTTTAAATTAAAGTGTTACCGGCAAACTTGCCAAAACTGGCTCAGATTAAGGAAACTATTTTTTAAATATCTAAATTTAAAGTCCTCTAAGATGCTTGGGGTCAATATTTTTGGATTTTAACTCTTGCCTGTTCTTCTCCTTCAGATTATCCTTCACTCTATGCACCGCTACCATCCACGTTTCCACATTGTTCAGGCTGATGATCTGTACAGCGTCCGCTGGAGCGTCTTCCAAACCTTTACCTTCCCCGAGACCTCCTTTACTGCCGTCACTGCCTACCAGAACACTAAAGTAAGACCAGTTATAAAACACAAAAACAAAAAGGGATTTAAAGAGATGATTCACCCCAAAAAGGAAAAGTCAGTCATCATTTACTTGTTCCAAACCCATTTGAGTTCTTTGTTGGATGAAAAAGAAGATATTTCGAAAATTTTTTGGCACCAACTGACCTCCATAGTAGTTATTGTTTCATATGGTAGAAATAATTACTATGCAAGTCAGTTGGTGCTAACATTCTTTAAAATATCTTCTTTTGTTGTTCAACAAAGAAACCTTTTTGAATTGCTTTGTTGAACACAAAAGATACTTCGGAGAATTTTGGCACCAATTGACTTCCATAATAAATATTGCTTCATATGGTAGAAACAATAATGATTATGGAAGTCCATTGGTGTCAACATACTTCAGAATATCTTTTTTTGTGTTCAGCAAAGAAACATTTTAGAATTTTTTTGTTGAACAAGAAAGAAGATATTTTGAAGAATTTTGCCACCGATTGACTTCCATAGCAATTCTTTTTTCGACTGTATGGAGGTCAATGAAGCTCTGCACAAGACTTTTGGCCAGCGGAGAAATTAAAATGGTCGTGCCCAACTGAGTCTGGTTCTCTCAAGGTTTTTTTTCTTCACTCCCATCAGGTGAAGTTTTTTTTTTTCCCTCTCCGCTGTCGCCACTGCCTCGCATGGTTCAGGATTGGTAGACCTACGCATCGATGAATTTGCTCTTCAGTGTTTGAACTCTCAGTAATGATTAAATCACACTGAACTGAGCTAAACTGAACTGAACTGAACTTAAACACTAAAACCTGAACCACACTGTTCCAGTTACTATGACCATTTATGTGAAGCTGCTTTGACACAATCTACATTGTAAAAGCGCTATACAAATAAAGCTGAATTGAATTGAATCAATGGGTGCCAGAAACTTATAAAGCAGCTAATAAAGGTTTTAAACCACATACTAGACGGTAAATAATGAGTTAATCTTCTTTTTTTGGTGAACTATCTCTTTAAGTTCCTACACACACTATCTTTGACTGAATAAATACCAGCAATTTTATTGAATTACTACTGATATTGATGCTAACATTATTTCTCTGACAGATTACAAAGCTGAAAATTGACCACAATCCCTTTGCCAAAGGATTTAGAGATGAGGGAACAAACTCTAAAAGGTAAAATTTTCTCAAATTTCTTAAAAAAAAAAAAAAAAATGTCATTACTTGTTGCAAGTAAAATATATATTTTTTTAATTCTACACTGCAAAAAAATGCATTAATTAGATTTTTTTTCTCTCGTTTCTGGTCAGATCATATACAGATTCCATCATTAAGAAGCATTTTCTTGACAAAAAAAAATATTGTTTTCTTTTCAGAAGTTTTCTTTAAAACAAGCAAAATAGTTTGCCAATGGATTGTCAAATAATACTATTTCAATCTGAAAACGGCATTATTTTACCTTTACCTTTGCATTATTTTAAGATTGTCTGTTTTGCATGTTTTAAGAAAAAAATCACTCATTTTTTTGACGTTATTTCTGAAAACAAAACCATATCTATTTTTAACAAGAACTCTAATTAAAAATTAAAAAAAAAAAAAGTTAAAATAACTTTTTGGTCACAAATAAGGTTTCGTAAAATAGCTCATTAAAATACATAAATATGGTATTCAAAAAAAAAAGATAAATTATATTTAGTATTTATATAGTGGAAATCAGAATTATTAAACCCTCTATAATTTATTTTTTTATTTCTCAAATGATGTTTAACAGAGCAAGAACATTTTCACAGTAATTTCTGTAATATTTTTTCATATAATCTTAAGTCTTATTTTGTTTTATTTTGGCTAGAATAAAAGCAGTTTTTAATGTAAAACCATTTTAAGGTCAAAACTAATAGCCCCTTTAAGCTATTTCTTTTGATAGTCTACAGAACAAACTATTATGTTTATAAATGTGTTGAAGAAATCTGCTCTCCATTAAACAGAAATTAGAGGAACAAATATACAGGGCGGATAATAATTCAGGGGGGCTAATAATTCTGACTTCAACGGTATATACTGTATTATTTTAAAGTTTCCAATCCTTGAAATAAATTGTTAAACGTTTTGCTTCATTGATTTTTCCTTTCACAGGCGGGCAAACAGAAATCTGCCTGATCCCGAGCGAGTTGCAAAGAAAATGTCGAAAGAGTCTGAACATGGAAGCCCACGAGGTAATTGTTTTTAAGCATTTAAAATCAAATAAACTAACGAGTAAGCCCAGTAAATATATATTAATTCAGTTTTTATATTGATTTGGGTAATATTATTATTCAACAACATAGAAATGTTTAGGATTTAATACAGTTTAGTTTGTCTTTTAGTAGACATACAGTTAATAAGTCAGAATTATTAGCTTCCCTTTGAATTTTTTCATATATTTCCCAGATGATGTTTAACAGAGTGAGGAAATTTGACATAGTATTTAATATAATCTTTTTTCCCCTGGAGAAAGTCGTATTTGTTTTATTTCAGCTAGAGTAAAAGCAGTTATCAAATTTTTAAAGCCCTTTTAAGGTCAATATTATTAGCCCCCTTCAGGAATAATTGTTCAGTTGTCTACAGATCAAACCACTGTATACAATGACTTGGCTAATTACCCTAACGTTACCCTAATTAACCTAGTTAAGCCTTTAAATGTCACTTTAAGCTGAATACTAGTGTCAGGTATTAGAAATGAGTCATTAAAACTATTATGTTTAGAAATGTGTTGAAAATAATCTTCTCTCTGTTCAATTGGGGGGAAATATACAGGACGGCTAATAAGTCTGACTTCAACAATATATTATACCAGAGACTTAATTTGTTTACCAAACTCGTGGTTCTAATTGGATCATAAACCTTAAATCAAAATTGAAATGTCTTTAAAATACAAACATATTCTTCTCCGCAGATGTCCAGCCGTCATCGTGTGAAGCTCTGGATGATGAGCATGCGGGCCGTAAAGAGCTGGAGGTGAAGGCTGAGCGATACTCCCCATGGGGCGGAGCTTGCGACCGGGACAGCGGACACGCTCTCCGTCCAGAGTCCCCACTGGGATCAGACCATCGAGACGTGTACAGCTCCGAGCAGCTCGTTCCAGGACAGAACACATACCAGCCGTACAGGTACCTTTGCTTGTTCAAACCAAATCAATACAACTCTTGAGTTTTATTTGGGAGGGGGGGCAACTTAATTGTTTATTTCAATTCACTTAAATTGGGTGACGCGGTGGCGCAGTAGATTGTGCTGTCGCCTCACTGCAAGGTCACTGGTCCGAGCCTCGGCTGGGTCAGTAGGCGTTTCTGTGTGGAGTTTGCATGTTCTCCCTGCGTTCGTGTGGGTTTCCTCCGGGTGCTCCGGTTTCTCCAACAGTCCAAAGACATGCGGTACAGGTGAATTGAGTAGGCTAAATTCTGAGGTGGACCCATAGACTGTAAAATATACGGACGTAGCATCCGTGACGTCACCCATAGGTTTCTGAAGAGCGCAAAAGAAGCCACAAGTAGGCGCGAGCAACCGTCGCCATTTTGTTCGCGCGTCATCGCACTGACGGCGGGATACCAAACAAGGGCAAAGAGGCGGAGAGTGAGCGGAGCTGCAGACACTGCTGGCATTTTGCTTGGACCTGGTTTAGACACACTTTATTTTGGGAGGAACGCTCAATACTTCATCACCTGCGACTCGTTTGTGTTCTGACCACATGTGCTTGGCTGTATCTACTATATCAATAAAGTGTTTAGTCTTTTAAAAACACTGCTGTAATACACTGAGCCACTAAACATTGCTCTTATGACTTTTTTCTACAGGAGGAAAACGTGAATTACTTCCAAACACTTCAGATATAGTCTGTGTAAATGCAGGACTATTGATGAAATCCAGCATAACACTGTATGACAACACTTCAGATGACTGATCTAGAGCCCACAGCTAATCAATCTGTCAGATTCTGCAGTGCATTACAACTCTAAATATAAATATAAACCATAAATGATCTTAAATAAAACAAATACATGTATAGAGATGGTATATAAGTATATAACTTTACTCACATGGGAAACGGAGGCCAGGTGAACGGTTTGTGAGCACAATTAAGTGCACACAGCATCCCATATCATCTGATAATTGTAGAAAATAATCCCAAAAGGCAACGAACTGTGTAAAGCCACATAAAACAACACAAAAATATGATGAACATCAGAGGCCAATCTGCCGGAGTCAGCTGAGGTGGCGTGACGGCGACCAGCGAGACCTAGCTGTCACTCAAGTGGCCCCGCCCTTAATTATGCAAGCTTAATATAACCTAATATAAAAGTAACTGATGAGTTATAAAAAAATTCATCCCCTCCTCACAGTTGTCATGAAGGGTAATATTAGCTATATACACCAAAATTGTTCTTTGTTCCAGGCTGTAAACACCTTTACTTCTGCTGTAAAGTCGACCATTCTAACAGTGGGCTCAATTGAAATCTGCTCTATTATGGAGGCAGGACTAGCGGGTTTTCCATGTATTGCAGTTTAAGTTACATCCGTATTGGCCTCCCGAGTGAGAGCGGGAGGTTGCCGCTTGGGTGGACGTGAACCGAAAGTGGGTGGGTGTCATGACCCTTTAATAAAGTGACACAGCATAGCTGGGCTGATGTTAATGAGGTTATAAAGTCGCCTACACTGTTCCCTTTAAAGATTTACCCGATGTGTCCTCGGGAGTTTGTTTTCCATATCAAACTTGCAAAGTCTGAACTTACAGGGAGAGGATGCAAGGCTACTTAATATTGAGGAAAAAGCCCCAATCAGATAAGCTGATGTCTGCAGCTCCATCTCCGGTTTCAGATGTCTGTTTTCCCTATCTAATTTGACTCGGAGCAGCAGCATTTTAAAATGAAAACAGCCTCTTCAGCGTTTCCAAAATGCTCCGTTTTCAGCGCTTAAAAACTCTGGCGTAGTGTTGACGGATGACCTAACCCTAGCAAAACTTATGCATTTTAAAACTAAAGTATCAGTGTAAACAGGGCCCAAAATGAGTTTATCAGAGTGACTAAAATCTAAATCTCTTCCACAGATTTCACGAATACGGCAAATCCCCGTCTCCATCTTCATCTTCCAGCGTTGGCGGCAGCAGTGCATGTGGAAGCGCGGGACGTCCCAGCTTTGAGTCCCGAGTCTTGGACGTGGCCACCGTGCCCGACACAGACAGCTCCAGCAAGCCCTCCTCCGCTCCAGAGTTCAGCCTCCCTCCGCATCCCTCTGCAGGACACCAGGAGTACGCTGGAGTGCTAAACATGGCCATCACCCAGGCCAAACCAGGCATGCTGGGAACTCATCCGCTTTACAGCCACTACAGCACAGAACAGTCTCTGGGGCAGTGGAGCGGGGCAGCAGCATCCCAATACCCGCCTCCACCTCCGCCCCATCATCACCTTCCCACCGAATACAGCAGCCAAGCTGTCCATCATGGCTATCACCATGGAAACGTTGGCGATTGGAGCCAGTATCCGCTTTTCTCATACTCGTGCTGGTGAGCCGGACACCGATTGAGAGACCATTTTGAGGATGCTTATTTTTAATTTTCTGCACGATGAGGTCTGGATGGTTTCTCATGACCTGTAAAATGGCACACGAAGTCGCCCGGTACTGAGTGTACCAAAAGTGAACACAAACTGTGAGAGGACGCACTAACTACACTTGCAAGAAGTATCCTAATTTTCTGACTGAGTTTCTAGTCTAAATATTGATTAACTGTTAAATTAAATTGACAAGACAAAAATAAAAATGTTTTAGGAAATCATGAGTGAAAATTGAGAGTTTTTATTTATAACTAGCTAAATATTTGGATAGTGGGGTTAGTAAAATAATATAGTTACACTTATTATTTAGAGTAAAAATATGCATTTTAATTTAATCTTTTATCCATATTTAGATTTATGTTTTAATGTAAAATTAATCTGCCAGTGCAGATTTAAAAACAAAAAAGTATTTCAATCTAATAACGTATTTTTATTATTATTTTTACATAAATTATTATGTTATTATAGATAAATAATTATTAAAATAATTTAATTTATAATAAATAAATATTATGTTATTATAAGTTTAAAATTCAGTTTTTCCATATTTTAAAATGAAACGATATTAATTCACTAACACCACTGGCAGATTATTTAAGTAGTTTTAAATTAAAAACTCACTATTTTCACTTGCTATTTCTGGACTTTCGTCTAAAAAAAAAGTGCATGTTTGATTAAAAAATGTATCGATATTTAGACTTAAAAACTCTCAAAAAATATAAAGAAAAATTAAAAGTAAAAAATGTGCTTATTTTTTCATTATTATCAAATCACAAGGGGTTTTCCTTAAAACTATCAACAAAACAACCCCACTTAATTTCGCTTTTTATTTAGTGAAAAAAAAAGCATTTTAATTTAAGATTTTATGGATACTTAGATTTATGTTTTTTTATGTCAAAATCTGCCAGTGCAGTTTAAAA